TCAAAAAAAAAAAAAAGATATAAAAAAGTTGAAAGATTCTTTCACCACAGAGGCTACTACGAGAAAGGTTGAAGTAGGTATGGAAAGCAGAAGGAAAATGATATCACATGAAACCCATACAGGAAAATAAATGAAACACAAAAAGACAAATACTGTATTAACTCACATGTGGAATCATAAATAGATGAATTCAGAAGCAATAAGTACAATGGACTGGGGTGAGAGAAATGGCAAATGTTGATCAAACGGTGTAAAGTTTCAGATATGTAAGATTAATAAATTCTTGAGATGTAATGTACAGGATGGTGGCTATAGTTAATAATATTGTATTGTGTACTTGAAATTTCCTAAGAAAAGTATAAATTGTTATCACAAAAAATGGTAACTATGTAAGGTTATAGATATATTAAGTCGATGGTGGCAAATATTTACATTTTAAATGTATATTAAAACATTATGTTGTACATTTTAAATATATACAATTTTTGTCAATTATACCTCAATAAAGGTGGGAAAAAAATGCCCTCAGAGAAAAGTTCAGGCCCAGAGGGCTTCACTGTGGAATGAAAACAAAGCTTTCCAGAAAAATACACATTTTTTTCACAACGTCTTTTAAAATTAAAGATGAGGAAATAGTTTCCAACTCATTCTATATGTCCCCTATTACTCTGTTTGGAAAATTAAAAAAAAAAAAGGCATTAATAAGAAAAAAAAAAATTACAGATCGATATCTTTCATGACCATAAATTCTATAATTCTTCAGAACAAGTTACCAAATCTAATTCAACTATATGTGGAAAAGGCAATATATCATGATCATGTGGAGCTTATCCTAGCAATGTAAGGTAGGCACAACATTCAAACTTCAATCAATGTAATTCACCACACTAACAAATTAGAAAAGCAGATTCATATGATCATTTCAATATATGTAGAAAAAGCATTTAACATAATTCAATATTGTTTCATGATAAAGTCTCTCAGCAAACTAGAACTAGAGAAAAATTCTTCCACTTATTAAGAAGTAACTCCTGAAAACCTACAGTAAACATGATATTTAATGGTAAAAGACTGAGTGCTTTTCCTAAGATCAGTAACAAAGCAAGCATAGCAGCCCTCACCACTTCTATTCAACATACAGGTGGAGATTCTAGTCAGTGAGATATAGCAAGAAAAGAAATAAAAGACTACATTGGAAAGAAAGAAGTTAAACTGTCTCTGTTCTCAGATGACATGATTATCAACTCAAAAAATCCAATGGAGTCTATAAAAAGTAACTGCCCTAATGAGTGAGTTTAGGTGTCAGGATCAAAATACAAAAATCAATTGTGTTTCTATATACAAGCAACAAACAATTGGAAATAGAAATTTCCTGAAGTCCCAGCGGCTCAGGAGGCTATTTAAGTACAGTCTGGGCAACATAGCAAGACCTTGTCGCTAAATTATTTTTTAACTAAAAAAAACGTATCTTTATAATCACATTCAAAGTTTCGGAATATTCAAGAATAAAGGTTACAAAAGATATGCAAAACTTAGAAACTGAAAACTTTGAAATGCTAAGAGTAATTACGGACCACTTAAGTAAATGGAGAGATACACCATGTTATAGGCAGGAAGTCTCAGTGTTGTTATGTCAATTCCCCGCAAACGGATTCAAGATTCAACACAATGGCAATCAAATCTCAGCAGGCTTTTTGTGAACAATCAACATATAAGATTTCGGTGACCAAATATGGGGGTTTCTCCCAACCACCAAGCAAGCAATCAGTTCTACAAGCAGATTCTAAAATCCACATGAAAAGGCAAGTGAACCCAGAATAGGCAAAACAATTTGATAAAGAAGAATGATTTTTAAAGACTAACATCTGATTCAAAATTTATTATTACTTCATGTCTATCAAAATGGCTAAAATTTTAAAAATATAGTGAGGATATAAAATGCTGGCAAGGATTTGCAGAAAATAAAGTCCTATCATATTGCTGATGGGAATATAAATAGTGCAGTATTATGGAAAAGAGTATAGTACTTTCTTAATTAAACATGTAATTCACCATAACTCCTCACCATATGACTAACTTACAGTATGACCCAGCAATTATACTATTTCATTTATCTTTATTCAAGAGAAATGAAAATTTATGTTCCACAAGAAAACCTGTATATGAGTTAAGTGTTTTTAAAATGTTGTTTCTGATTTTTTTTGTATGTTTGTTTTAAGACGGAGTCTCGCTCTGTCACCCAGGCTGGAGTGCAAGCTCACTGCAACCTCCACCTCCCTAGTTCAAGCCATTCTCCTGACTCAGCCTCCAGAGCAGCTGGGACTACAAGCGCCTGCCACCACACCCGGCTAATTTTTTTGTATTTTTAGTAGATACTGGGTTTCACCGTGTTAGCCAGGATGGTCTCCATCTCCTGACCTCGTGATCCGCCTGACTTGGCCTCCCAAAGTGCTGGGATCACAGGTGTGAGCCACTGCACCCGGTCTTTAATTCTTAAGTTCTGTTATGTAATTTCTGTTATTCTAATTCTGATTTGTGCTGTTCTTTTGTGTTTTGAATCATTTCCTTAAAGTTTTTCAGCCCATTTTGAAACATTCTATTAAAGTTGCATTTATTTCTTGAATATGTCTTTCCAGTTATTCTGTAGGATTATTCTTCTGCTTCTAATTCACATTTTTTTCTTCTCATGGTAGATTCACGTGGGATTTGATCTTAACATTTTGTGTCTCTCATTTTCATGTGAAATTATTCTTCCTGGACTATGTGAAGAGATTTTGATTTAGATAGCTTTTATAACTTAATAGTTTCCCTTCATCCATTTTTTTGTATGTGTGCATTGTTAAAAAAAAATTGACAGTTTATTTTCTGAGATTCTCTAGTTCTTTCTCTCTAGCACTTTTATCCGACTCATCTTCTTCTTGCTCTGTCATCCTTATTGTGATTCCACTCCAAGCAGTTCCTCGTTAGATCTGAGCCCTGCCCTGGGAGGAAGGCCTGATAGTTCAGTTTGAAAGTTCATCAGAAATAATCAGTTTCAGCTCCCTGAGGCCTTACTATGGGTCGCTTGCAATTAGCCACTTTTACAGTGAACTAAACCCATCAGTTGTGTTATATTAGCGCACTGTGCTTTCTAGTGAATGCATGCTGCCTATTTTGCGGTTCTGTTCTCAGGTCTGTCAGTGCTGTGTTGCTTCCCTCTGCTTTCCTCTACACAGATGTTGATAATACACAAATCTTATGGGTCTTAATGGTTTATCCTCTCCCCCTTGTATTTTGGGGTTCATAAGGATACATCATCACCTAAGCTTTTGTTTTGCTTTTGTAAATGTCATCCACAGGCTTTGATTTTGGTAACTACCCAGTTCCCATGCAGTGATTTGGAAAGATTCCAAATCTGTATTTCTATTGATGTTATTATATTTCCCAAATCCCCATAACCTTCATTTTTGCTGTTTTTTTCCCTTTGATCACTTTAAAGATTTTATTCTATTGCTTTCTGGCTTCCATTGTTCTACTGAAAGCTATGCGAGTTTAGATGTAGCTTAAAACTTCAAAAACACAAACTGTCTTTCTTCTACTCTAATACTGCGACAATCAATACATAAGATTTCAGTGACCAAATATGGGGGTTTCTCCCAATCACCAAGCAAGTCATCAGCTCTACAGCAGACACCACCTGAGTGTCCTCCAATTCAATTCTGACACTACCTTCCTGTCAGCAGCATCAGATCTCACAGAGACCTGCTTCAAATTGAGCTTCCCACGACACCCTTTTTGGGTTTAATTTTCTAGCATGGCCCACAGAACTCAGAGAAACACCTGTTACCTTTACCAGTTTATTGGACAAAGAAAACAAATGAAGAGATGCACAGGGTGAGGTATGGGGGTGGGGGTGGAGCTTTGACGAGTGTGTCACTCTCTAGGATCCTCCATATGTTCAGTTATCTAAAAGTTCTCCAAACCCAGTTCTCTTGGGGTTTTATGGAACCTTCATTACATAGGTATGATTGATGAAGCCATTGGCCTTTCATGATTGACTTAACCTTCAACCCCTCTATCCTCTCTGGAAGTTGGAGATAGGGCTGAAAGTCCCAATCCTCTAATCATGTCTTGTTTTTTTCTATGACCAGCCTTCATCCTGAAGCTACCTAGGGGCTATCAGCCATCAGTAAATTTGTTAGTATACAAAACAACATCGCTTTGGAGATTCCAAAGATTTTAAGAATAATATGCCAGGAAACAGAGACAAAAGCCAGGTATATAACTTACACGATAAAATACATAGTGTGCTATGTTAAACATTAAATAGCAAAGTGCTGACTACTTTAATGACATCATGAATTTAGCTGTTTCAGGGATATGGATAGACTCATTCCCTTTTATTGTCAAATGTTTCAAGGATAAGTTTTGTCTTGTGTGAGCATGTGTGTGTGTGTGTGTGTGCATGTGTGTACACGCGTGTGTGTTTTTTTCATCATTCTCCTAGCAGGACTTTGAATCGCAGGCACTGTGAGACTCAGGGAGATCTTCACTCTACCTTTCTGGTCTAGCTCCCATATTCTTATACTACCGTTTCACTTAAAAAATGTCCCTTAGAGAAAATTGGATGTGTGTTGTGAGACAAAGTAGCAAATGTAAGAAGTCATGTTTGTTCATTTCTGCTTGCCAGCAAAATTTCACAAAGCCCTGATTTGTAATGACATGCAGCTCTCCAGAAGGATGATTTGAAAATAAAACACGGATACAGCACATGGACACCAAATCTCTCGCCTGAGTCACTACATTCCTTAAAAGATAAATGACCCTAGTCTTTGCCTTTTCCTACACATAAGACAACTTCTGACATGGTTAGTGATTATGACTCTGTGATCCACAACCAGATATACTCTTGCACCTAAATGGTGATGTGATTTTGCTTTAATGTAAGTAACTTCTGAGCACATACTTGTAACTGGCTGAAGCACAGCTGCTTGCTGCTCAGAGGCCGAAAACTCAAGAAGTGAAGTGTGGTAAAAGGAAGGCAGTTTTATTTATCAAATGCTACCAACTGGGAAATGGCCAGGCTCATATCTTTAAAAAACCATTTTAGGTGTTCAGTTGAGGGGAGGGGTTTAAAAGTGGAGGCTTGGTATGAGAAATACCCAGAAGTAGCATAGGATGCAGGTCTGCATGTCTTGCTCCACGTGCTATCTTGGATTAGTGTCCACCTGGAGTTCCAGCTGATACCATGTCAGTTAAAGACAGGCTGTAGATAATCCATCTTGAGGTAATTTCCAAGTGGAAGAGAATCCACAACTGGGCTTCCATGGCTGGCTTGTTGTAAAATAAGTCCCTGGAATTTTTAAACAAGAATACAGTTAGATAAGTGTGTGTATTGAAAGGGAGTGTCTGGTGGGAAAGAGAGAAGAGTAGAGTTTCAAAGTACATTTCAAGGCTATATTTTAAGACTAAGAAAAAAACATGTCTACAGTCTATTTCAGGGTTACATCTTAATAGTAGGGAGAAAGGAGAAAAAAGTTTTAAAATGCATTTCATACATACTGAACTTTCACAACCTGTATATAAGTTATGAACTGAAACACTGTTTTGAAGCAGTCTGATAGAATCTCCCTGAAAGACTCCTCTCAGGCTATAATCATCTACAGTCCTCAGTAAGACTTCAGAATAAAACTAACTTTAATTCTTTAAAAGCTTTATTTTTCTTTCTTTAGTCAACAATGTCTTGGTCTCCTTGGATTTCAGTTTGTCATGCTAGGCCATGTAGCAGTTTTTAGAAAGCTCACTTTGTTCATTCATTTAGCTAAACCTAGTAGAGCTTTTCTATGTGTGGCAAGCTCAGTCTTCATCCAGTGACCTCAAAGAGGAAAGACTGATTAACAATTCAACTAGGAAGAATTCTTCTGTCTTTAAAATTTTAGTTGATATATAAGCTTCTTTGCTTCTACACCTATGCAGTGTCTTTAAAACTATTAATCTTATGATGTATTCCATTTTATAGTTGTTGAAATAGAAGAAGAAAATAGCTTGCCACTACCTACTATATTTTAATACAGAATAAAATTCTCTATTCACCAAGAGCAAGAGAAAAGAGAAACATTCCTGGATCTGAGGTGGAACTGTTGAGATAATTTGCCCTCCCTTCCTTTATTAAGATGGGAAAGCAAAGGGCTGTATCCTTGCTATAAAAATGAAATAGAAATAAACCTACATTGCTCTTCCTGCTTCTTTTCCTTCATCCTCTACAGAAGACTACCAGGAGCTTTATTTTTCTTTTTTTAGTCAACAATGTCTTTGGTTTCCCTGGATTTCAGTTTGTCATGCCAGCCCATGTAGCAGTTTTTATCTCTTGTCTTTTTTTTTTCTTTTTGGAGTGGATCATTCTACTTAATCTGTCAAAGGCTGAGGGGTGTTCTAATATGACTCATTATTATTGTATTTCTATCAGTGTTATATAGTTATACACATTTTTGGTTCATTTTGAATATTATTGAGTATATAATGTTTAATGAAATGGTTAAAACATTTTTACCTTGGCTACTGATAGTATAATGCTGCTCTTTTCAGACTTCCACTGTCAATTGCTGCATACTCTGTCTTTTCTCTATAGCTTCTTTTAAGATCTCTTCTGTTTTTGCTACTTTACAATTTTAAAAATATTGTAATTTTTTTTCTTTCTGCTTGAGATTCATTGAGATTCCTGAATCTGAACATACACATCTATCATTTCTGGAAAACTTTTACCAATTATCTTCCTACATACTATCTCTATTTCACTCTGCCCTGTTCCTTCTCTGATTAGACAAATATTTGACTTTCTCAATCTCCTCGTCTTTACCTTTTTTCTGTATTTTCAATTTCTTTTTCCCTCTCTTTTGCCTTCTATGTATTTTTTCCAGTTGTATATTCTAGTTCAAAATTCCTTCTTTGGGGTGGGTCTATCAGCTACTAAGCTCATTCATAAACTTTTAACTATATATATTTTTATTTCTGGCTGTTTCTGATTCTTTTTCATTTTTGAAGTTTGTTGTTCTTACTTACGTTGAGTCCTTTTTATTTCTTTAAATATACTGATTCTGATAAATTTCAACCCTGTAGAGGTTTAATTCCACTGTTGTTTTGTTAGCTTTCATTCATGGTATTTTATACCAGTTTTTTGTTTTTTTTGTTTTTTGTTTTTTTTTTTTTTTTTTAAGCTGAGAGCTCACATTTCTTGCAACTTTATCTATTGGTATCTTTTGAGGCCTAGGTTGAAGTAGATGCATGTAGGGAGAATGTGTATTGTTTTTATCAGGCAATTTAAATGGAGTACTTTACACTAAATTCTTACTTTAGACTTTCAAAAATTTTCTTAACAATCTCTAGAGTGTGAATCTTGACTACCAACCTGAGTAAAGGTTGGCTTTTTTCCTTCTTTACTTATACCTGAGGTGTGAAGCAAGCAATACTCCTGGTAGTCTTCTGTAGAGAATGAAGGAAACGAAGCAGGAAGAGCAATGTAGGTTTATTTCTATTTCATTTTTATAGCAAGGATACAACCCTTTGCTTTCCTAGATTAATAAAGGAAAGGAGGGCAAATTTTCTCAACAGTTCCACCTCAGGCAGATCCAGGAATGTTTCTCTTTTCTCTTGCTCTTGGTGACAACTTGAGCACAAGATCAATTCAATATGACAGCCATCCTCAGTGTTTCAGCTTTGGAGCTAAAGATTTGCACTTTCTCATAGTTTTTGTCCCCTGAGTATTTCTGATGTTCTTGCATTGGTGAATGTATAAAAAGTTTTAAAGAATTGTATCCCATGTTTTAAATTGTTTTCCATGGGACAGTTGATCAGGGTACCTAGTCTGAAAAAGTATTGAATACAGAAGCTAGCAACATATTTAACATAAGCGTTTTGAAAAAGTCTACAAGTATCCAAAGAGGAAACACTGATAACCTATAAACAACATTTACTCTGGCTTCCAGCTTCTCTTTTGTAATACCAAACACCCAAAAATAGCAGAGTTATACCTGAAGAAGAATTCTGACAGAAAGAGATTCTGATCCAAAATTTGATGCCCAGGTAAGCTGTCATTCAAAAGAGACACCTTAGAACTATAAAAATTCAGAAAGCACATCACTCTAGATAAAGTTAAGAAACTGATATGAGTAAATTATGGTATGTTGACAGTGATTCAAAGCAAATTAAACATATGACTAAGTAGAAATATTGCAAATATGGTCACAAACACTGAATATAAATTTCAAAAATTATTTCCAAAGGGAATATATAACATGAAAGCTATTAGTTTAATAATAATAATGTGATTTCAATTACCATTAATAAAATCTAAAAAGAGGAAAGAGATATCAGAAGAAATATAATATGAATTTCTATGAATTAACCTGTCACTGGGATGACAGTATTATATACATTAATTAAATTTAATCCTCATGAAAACTCAAACAGGTATATTAATTTTCTCTTGCTCCTGTACTAAATTACCTAAATTATACTGGCTTGAAAACAGACAAAAGTATTATTTTACAACTCTGTATGTCAGAAGTCCAACACAGGTCTCACTTGGCTAAAACAAATGTGTCAGAAGAACTGTGTTCCTTTCTTGAAGTTAGAGAGGAAATTATGTTTCCTTCCCTCTCTAGCTTCTAGAGGCTACCTACTATTATTGGCTTGCAAACTGCTTTCTCCATATTCAAAGTGAGCAACAGTGAGTTGAGTCCTTCTCACATCACATCACTCTAACCTCTTCTTGAATAGTCTCTCCTACTTTTCAGGAAGCTTGAGATTACATTGAGCCCATTTGGATATTCAGGAAAATCTTTATTTTAATGTCCACTAATTAGCAATCTTAATTCTCTCTGTAACCTTATATCCCCTTTGCCATGTAACATAATATTCAGAGTTCTGGGAATTAAGATATAGAAATACTTGGGTAAACCTTATTCTACACATCACAGTCTAGCCCTCTGACTGCCAAAGATTAATGTTAGTCCAAATGTTTGCTCCATCTCAAGGTCCTCAAAATTTCTGAACCCATTATAGCATCAATTCAAATCCTCAAATCTTATCTAAATTTCATCATCTAAATAATCTAAATCAGGTATGAGTGAGATTCTGGATATGATCTAACTGGTAGCACAATTTTCTTTATCTATGGACCAAAAAAACTAAAGAAGTAGACAATATTGAATTCATTTTACAAATAAGACATTGAAAGTTAAATACCTTTTCTAAAACCACATCCTTATTAAGTGTTGGAGATTCTCATCTGTTTTCAACCCCGAAGTTCATAATATTTTTAATCATTTCACTATCTAGAGAACACAAACCTCCAAAATTCTTCATTTTACAACTGGGGAGTTTAGAGGGTATTAATTCACCAGGAAATACATAAATCAGATATTGGAAAAGGCTTTAAATATTTGTATCACCCAGAAGTAGTTTAAGTCAAGGATAGATATGGATCAGACCAAACTGATGGGACCCATTTTCAGTTGCTTTGGAGAACCTTATGATATTGGTGTTGTGGTAGGCTAAATAATGCCTCAGTCTCACAAGATGCCAACACACTAATACTTGAAATCTATAAATATTATTATACTTAATTTTTGAAGTATAATTTTGCAAAATATAGACTACTTACTTAGTTGATGATCTTATTCTTTTATTACTTTGAATGTGTTATCCTATCTGTTTGGACTACAGAGTTTTGGAAATGAAATCATGAGTTAATGTTAGAGAGAATCCCTTGTATGTGGAGAGCCATTTTTCTCTTACTGCTTTCAAAATTCTCTCAGTATTTTTGGCTTTTGACAATTTTATTATTTTGTTTATATTAATCTCTTTGAGTTGTCTTACTGGGGGTTCCTGAATTTTTCAGATGTGTACTTAATGTTTTAATTAAATTTGAGTAGTTTTTAGTTATTATATCTTCAAGTAGTGTTTCTTCCCCTTTTTCCTATCTTCTGTGATTCTAATATGTGTATGCTGATAAGCATGACATTGTTCAATTAGTCTCTGAGACTTTATGCATTTTTATTTATTCAGTTATTTTTTCCTGTTCCTTAGGCTAGATGATCTAAACTAACCTATATTCAAATTCTCTTTTTCTACCAGGACTAATCTTCTATTGAATCCCTATAGTAAATATTTTAGTTGTTATTATACTTTTCAATTTGATAATTTTTACTTTTCTATTTCCTCATCGGTAATATTCGCTGAGACATCAGGGTTGTTTTTGTTTTTGTTTTTTTTGTTTTTTTTGTTTTTTTGTTTTTAGTTTTTTAGAATTAGTTTCCTCTATTTCTTTGAACATATTTATAATAATTGATTTAA